TCTCTCGCTCTCTCTCGCTCTCTCTCGCTCTCTCTCGCTCTCTCTCTTTCTCTCTCTCTCTCTCTCTCTTTTTCTCTCTTTCCTTCCCTCTCTCTCCCCCTCTCACTCTCTCTCTCTCTCTCTGGAGACCTAACCCAGTAGAAATGTAACCTTGATTCAAGGTTAATTCAACGTTGATATGGTTGACAGCTGGTTGAGTCGATAAGAAAGTCGATATTCCTGCAATATCGATCATGTCCAGTGTCGATTCAAGGTTGATTCAACGTCAAAGCGATTAATAGCGCTGTTTTGAGTGCGCACTTATAAAATTCGATCAATTTAGATTTTAATCCTAAAAAATATTACGACATTGTTTATGTAAATTGTACAAAATGATTTTATGGACGTTTAAGAAATGGCGTACCGAGTCGAAATTTTTCTCCTATTTTCGACCTCAATGTTCAATATAACACCTACTTTCGACCAAAATATTCGACCTAACACCTACTTTGATACTATAAGCAGTCACATCACCCTATTTTGAACCTCTTCAACCTCTGGCTCCTATTTAGAATCTGACAATTCTGTTTGAAAAGAAATCATGCTCCTACTTTAATGTTTCTAACGTTTTCTTAATTTATTTATTGCATTTAGTTTATTTTTATTATTATAGGTTTATTATATTTTCGATTAAATATTATATATGATTTATTAAACGTTTATAATAACGTTTATAATAAATGTTTATAATAACGGTTCTCTCTATTTATTAATTTAATCAAAAATAGTATAAACAAAATTAAAAGGAATTTTATTAGGTTAATAATAATAGTTTTATTATTGATAACTAAAAAAAATTATTTTATATATGACGTATAAATAATTATTTATATAAAATTGTATTTTTCTATATTATTTTTTCCTTCTTTCTCTCTTTTTTCTTTATTTATTAAAATAATTCAAAATAAAATTAAAAGAATGTGTGTATGTATGAGTACGCATGCGTATATGTGCAACTAAAGGTAGCAAATTTTAAATATATACAAAACTATTACAAAACATCTTTCTTTTTGTTATTACTTCTTATAATTACTTATCTTCATATATTTACATATTACTAAATTTACGATAATTGAATATGGACTGGTATTTATTTATTCAAGCTCTTGCCCAATCAGCAGACAATGTTTTTTAAATGTGTTTTTAATATTCATTTTTTATTAATTATACATTTGTACAATTCATTGTAAAAATAATATTTATTTAATGTTTATTAAATATTTATTTCACATTAATTATTTATTTGAAGTAATAATTTAGAAAAAATATTTATTAAACGTTTATTTAACGTTTATTTAATATTTGTTTTACATTAGTAAGTTATTTGCAATAAGTTAAAAAAACATTTATTTAACATTTATTCGACATTATTTTAATATTTATTTTACATTAACTATTTGATTGCCATAATGAATTGAAAAAACATTTATTTAACATTTATTCGACAGTAATGTAATATTTATTTTACATTAATTATTTATTTGCAATAATGATTTAAAGAAACATTTATTTAACATTTATTTAATATTCATTTAATATTTACTTCAGATATTGCGCTCAAATTCCTTCACGTTTTGCAAACGCCCGATCGTTTCAATCAGATGTAGATGGCGCGACGCGTGAGTCGCCACTTTCAAAGCGCCCCCACTCCTTCCTCGCTCGGCTCGCTCTCGTTCAGTCAGTTCAGTGTCATGGCCGCTCTTGCTGCGTTTCTTCGGACGAGACGAGTACGTTTTCCTTCTTTCGTAACTGATTGAGCTAAGCGGCACATATTCTGGAGACCAACCGAGCGAGATTCAACTTCCCAAGGAGAGCTCACCGCCAGGAAAAGGAGAGCTGCGGCAGCTCGCGCCCGAGAGGGAGAATTGAGGCGAGGAGTCCGATCCAGCGAGCAGGGCCCTTCCGATATTCTCATTTGGGACGCCATATTGGAAGATCGACATTGTTCGTAGTAGTACAAGGAGCTCTGCAAGGTTAATCTCGTCTTCAGATCTTGGAATTGCTCTTATTCTTGTTACTCTGGTTTATATTTTGGCCCTAGAATTTATCTCGTAGACAAATGCAGAGGCCCCCCTCTCTTTTCTTCTCTTTTCTTTTCTTACTTTGATTTCAATCGGTAATCCAGACTCCTTAATTCCGTATTATTAATATTATTTGTTAAATGGCATTTGTGATATGCGATTAGTTATTTGGTATTAAGGCATTAATTTTAAGTTTTATTAGTATTAAGATATTTCATTTTAAGATACTCACAATCAGTATCAAGACATTTTTCAATTTTAATTTTAATTTTGTTGAAACTAAATTTTAATTTTAATTTTTATTAAGATACAATACATATATTAATTGTTTTAAATGGTTAAAAAAAATTTTTTTTGTTATGATATAATATGAGTTTAATTTAGATAGTATGCAAGAGTACATGAACAAGTAGATAAAAAAGTGTAAACAAATAAATATATGTTCCTTTGTACCTTAGAAACAAACGTGTGCGATCTCTTAGATTTTTTGTGACTCTCCCCCCTATATGCTATTTACCACATTATCATATTAACATGCTCTATGTCATGTATATTATCGGTGACTTGCAGTGGAGTTTTTATTTAAGTTGTGTTTCATATGGTTAATAAAAAAAAAATTTATTATATAAATTTTATAACATTATTAATTGTGATACATGTATGTCTATATGTATCTGATTAATTAAAATTGTGATTAATTAAAATTAAAATTAACAATGTTATAAAATATTTTGCGGTAATATTTTTTTAATATTAAAAATCTTAGATTCTAAATAATAAATCTAGATAAATATTGCATTTAACAGAGCAACGAGATACGACAACATAAGTCAAAGTCACAACCGTATCTCGTTGCTAAATTTACCAAAACCTATACTATATGAATTATCGATGATGTACGTGATATGGAACATGTTTCATTACGATTTAAAAAGTAGTAAAAATTAATACATTGATAATAAAATGTACTACAATAAATGTTTTCTCCAATAGTCCTAATAAAGTATTCTTTTGAATTCAGTAAATATTTTATTAGGTTTAGAAAATTTGTTTCAATTGGATGAATATTTTTTTCATTCGAAAAATATTAACTGAATTAAAAAAATACTTTATAAGGACTACTGGAGAAAACATTAATTAAAATTTAGTACATTTTTCTATCAGTGTAGGATCTAGAGGGTTTTAGGAGGTTTAGGAGGGTTTTACCGATAACTCCTCTTTTAAACCTCAAAATGGGAAACAGTCCGTTTTCTGCCGTTTTCAGGCACAAAGTAGGAGCTAAGTACAATACAATTAGAACCTATCAAAATCCTTTAGAATCCTGAGATGTGAAAAATAAGAGGTCGAAAGAAGGAGTAAAATTTCGACTCGGAATTGCGCGATCAATCACATATGTATAAATAATATATATAAATTTTACATTTAGGACCTATCCAGACAAACACTGCATATATAAAAAAATATAAAATATATAATATACTATATTTCAATCGAATTTCAACCTTCGACGTTGAAACGACGTTGAAACGATAAGTTGAATAGTCGGTGATATTTTATACGCTTTCGACGTCAAATCGACCAGAATTACGACGTTAAGAGTGCGTTCGAAAATAGGTTCGGCTGGTGTTGGGAAAAATAATAAAGTTGGCAGTATTGAGAATTCCCAACACTGCGTTCGTTTTCTCCCAACTGGGAAAAGTTGGAGATTGATAGAATGGGGGCAACTAGTGCAGATATTTATTTGTATCGGTCTCAACGTCTTTTGTGAAACATAACCTACGATTCTGAAACGCATACAAAAATAACGCTGTGTGAACATTGATTAGTGTATACTGCTTAGATCGTAAATTATACACCAATCAGTGGACCGTGCAACGTTATTGACATATACGAAAATTTTTCATATGACTGAAAGAATCGAGTCTCTGGTCAGTATCGGTCTTTTTCTTGTCATATAATTTTGTACGTTGTTTTATTGCGTCTCCGGCTATCTCAACCACATCGATTAAATCTAAGGTAATCCTTCCTTTTCTTTCTTTATTTATAAAATAAAGTTTAACACATTACTTTTGTATATATTTTTAAGTCACATTCTCTTTATTTTGCAGGATACAAAAGAGGTTTACCGCAACTCACATTATTCTGCTGATGCAGATAATTCTCTGTACTCTGCGTATGTATTAACGCTGGTGGCAAAGCATAGAGTAAGTATTACGGTACTCATATTTATGTTTCTATTATTTATACCTAATTGTAATTGATTACAATAGAACACGTCTATTTTAATCTTTAATTTCTCTCTTTCTCTCTCTATAAATTATACATAGGATGAAAAAAAAATTAAAGTTTATATCTGTTCCATTGTAATGCATGTATGGCGCTTATATACAAAATATAATAAATTATGTAAAATAAAAATTTGTCAATACAACTCCATAAATTATTGCTATTATTTATTATATTGAACTATATTTAACTATAATATAAATGTATTTACAGAGTTTCTTCTCTTGTATTATTACTTCATCAAATATAAAAATGAAGAAATTTGTGCAATCCAATGTTAACTGTAATCATCAACAAATGTTAAAGTTGAAATTGCTTGATGAATCAACAAATGTTATGTATAGTATAGAAGTAGGAAAAGAAGATTACAATCGTGCTCATAAAGGTTCAAAAAAGGATTTTAGTATTAAATATTTAACTGCAATGTGTGACAAAATATTTTCAAAATAATTTATGTGTTATTTTTATAGATAATGATTTTGCCAACGTGCTTCTGGAGAAAGCGAAAGCATTACGTTCAAATTACAAAAACTCTACACCTAGTAACTGTAGTACCTCTCCTGTAGTACCTTCAACAGTTGATAACAATAAACCAAGTTGTTCGAAGAGTAGTGTTCAATACGACAATACTTCAGATATTGAAAACTATAATGAAGACAATTATAATCAAGCTGAACGAGATGAACTTAATATAGGTGTGTTTAAATCGCAAGTACAAAAATAGAGAGTACAATAACATAAGTAAGATTTAATAAATATTTGGTTTTTTTTAGATTCAAATGAGGGGCGATGGACACACGAAGCCACGCTTTTGCTAATCTCATTGTATAAAGAAAACGCGTATATGCTAGGGAAAGTTCCTCAAAAAAAAATGTGGACGCAAATTTGCCAACGTATAAAACATGAACAAAAATATAACTTTACGGTTAATCAATGTTATAATAAAATAGATACTTTAAAAAGACGATATCGTCAGATTATTGATCATAACGCTTAAAGTGGAAATGACAGGAAACAATGGATATATTTAGAGGTAATAAATAAGTTATAACAAAATTAACATTGAATATTACGAATAATTTTAAATTTAGTTACCATTACATTTTATAATTTAGAAATAGAAATTTTTAAATATAAAAATGAACATGTTTTAGCCATTAGATGAGATCTTTCGCGACAAACCTTGGGTAAAACCATTATCTGTAGCAGGATCGCATACACGAGATCCTGAAAAATCTTTATTTGATGATAATGAACAGGAGCCATCAACTAGTAAGTAATCAATAAGTAACTAAAAATGTACAATATTTCTTGTTGTTATTTAAGTTTGTAATTCACAATATTTTTTAGAACAAAGGAAGATCTCATTAAATGAAGAAAGAGCTAATTATTTACGGGCATCACTCGAAGAAAAAAGAATAAAAAGAGAAGAAACTGCTAATTATAGAACAGAAAAATTAAAAATATTAAAAGAACTTAAAGAAGTTTTTAAAAAATGAAGTAAACATTTATATTACACTAAAAGTACAAATTATGAATACGTATATAGTTTTTAAGTATTAGTAGTAAATATTTTTGTTGAGTATACGTTTTTATTAAGTATGAATGAATTTCTTTTATTTTTATTTTTTTAAATATCGATTATTAAGTAGAATTATTAAGTATGAGTTTAAGTTTAAATTAAATATAAGTAAGAACTATGTAAAAAAAGAAGTGCATCAAATATTAACAATAATATTAATATATATATAACATATTCATTAACGACGTTAAAGTTTTAAAAAGTGATATTAAGGCCCGATTCCATAACTTTAACTGAAGTTTAACTAATATGTAATAGAATAATTCATTTTATATAAAGCACTTCTATTGAATATTGTTAGCTAAAGTTCAGTTAAAGTAAGTTGTGGAAATGAGCCTAAGTGATAAAAAGTGATTTAATGAATATACAAAAAATAAAAGTGCAAAGTATAAGTTCTATTAAATATAAGTTTTTACTACGATTAAGACTATGCAAAAAAGAATGCTTTAAATATTAACAGTTTATTTACTAATGAATGTATAGTATGACATATACTTTTGACTTATTAGCGAGGTTAAAATTTTAATAAAGTTATGTAAACATTGGAGTATACAAAAATAAAAGTTCAAACTATAAGTTTTGATTAAGTATAAATTTTCATGAAGATATTTCTGCGAAATTACATGAAAAAAGAAATACTATAAATATTGACAGTTATTAATATATATATATATAGTTTAACATATTTAATTATTAAAAGTGATAAAGTTTTAAAAAAATGTAAACATTTATGAGTATACAGGAAAAGTACAAACTATACGAGTACAGTAAACGTACAAAGTATACGAATACAGTAAACGTACAAAGTATGAATATACAGTAAAAGTATAAGTTCTTATTAAGTCTTAAGTTTCTGTAATTAACACTACAATATGTAAGTACTAAATTAATATACTGTTTTTAAATGAATATTACATCTATATGTATGAATATATTAATATTTACACATACATGCACACGCACACAGGTACGCATGCACGCACACACACTTTCATGCATAAAAACAAATTAATTTTTTCTTTAAACATTGTTATTTGTAATTATTTCCATTAATCTGTTTCTTTTTAAATTTCCTTCCTCTTTTAATTCATTACTAACAGCAAGCGGTTCTATTTCGTGTAGCATATCAGGTATAATGACAGGGATTTCGATAGCATCATTGTTTAATAAACAAAAGTTGTGTAATACACAACAACTAACTATATAATATGGAATTAAATCCGTTCGTGTCATTGGCAACTTATCCAATAAATAACGCCATTGTCCCTTTAATAATCCAATTGCCCTTTCTACAGTTATTCGAGCAGATGACAAATTGGTATTAAATTCTTTTTGTCTTCTGATTAAATGACCATTATCATAAAATGGTACCATGACATTTTTCTGTATAGTATAAGCTGCGTCACCTAATAAATGACTGTCTTCAGGGAAATATTCTGGAGTACAATATCGTTGTACACCAGAATAAAGAAACACTCGCATGTCGTGAACACATCCTGGCATTCCAGCAAATACATGAATGAAGGACAAATCATCTTTGCAGATAACCTAGAAAAATATATAAAAAGAAAATGTAATTACTTTTAACAGTTTGCTGTTTTTCTATTCATTCAACATATATTTGGGTAATTCTTCAGAATAGGGCCTTTTCTGAATTTTGATATTTTCTTGCGGTTTTCTTGGTAAAAACCTTTGTTGTGACTCCGACAGTGATAATCAATCGGGGGAGCCCGAAAAATATGCACCCTACCTATTTTTTTTACCTATTTTTACTTTATTTTTGATAAATGTCTAGATTAAGGGCGCATATACTTTCCACGCGAACCGAGGTTCACGCACACCCCCCCCCCTGCTCATTTATCAAAAATAAAGTAAAAATAGGTAAAAAAAATAGGTAGGGTGCATATTTTTCGGGCTCCCCCGATTGATTATCACTGTTGAAGTCACAACAAAGGTTTTTACCAAGAAAACCGCAAAAAAATATCAAAATTCGGAAAAGGCCCTATTCTGAAGATTTACCGAAATTTGTAACAAACACGAAAATAATCTAAAATACAATTATTTCTTATGTAATATAATTGCGCAAATAATTTGAAATACTTTTGTTTTAATGTATAATAAAATTTTTATTGTTTGCAGGCGACGGTTAAAGAGGCTACGCGAAGAGGAAAATAGCAAGAAAAGTACGGATTCAACGTTCAGTACCGAAGAAACGTGCCTCGATGTAACGCCAAAAAAAGGTACGTTTAGCGATGTCGAACAATGCGAAGATGTCGATACTCTTATTATCGACAATACAGGCCGATTGGATCCACATTGTATCCAAGAACGCATGATTGAAGGCCGTCGCATTGTCGATTTAACATTTCTGTGGAATGAAATCCATAGAACATTTGACAATCATGCGCAAGGTATAGAGTGCCTATTTAGAGATTGGAAACTTGTAAAATCTCAGCGCAAAGGGTTTATGACACAGTTGTTCTTCAAGTGCCAAATGTGCAATTATGAAACCAACATCTGGTCAGAACCTACACAAGCAGAAGGTTTGGATATTAATACAGCTGCTGTAGCAGGAACTGTTACAATGGGAATTGGTTTTGCCCAGCTTGAAGAGTTGTGTGCTGCCATGAATATTCATTGCTTGTCTGAGCCGACTTATATTAAATATAGAGAAGATGTAGTCGAAGATTTCACAAAAACAGCCATGGAAAATATGTTAATGGCTGGTGAAGTTGAAAAGCAACTTGCTCTGCAGAGGAACGATGTTATAAACGGTATTCCGTATATAACTGTCGTAGTGGATGGTAGTTGGATAAAGAGATCATATGGTAGCGCTTATAACTCTCTGTCCGGAGTTGGAGTCATAATTGGTTACCATACGAAAAAGGTTCTCTTCACTGGTATCCGCAATAAATTTTGCTCAATTTGCGATATGGCGGAGCGAAAAGGTGTCAAAGCAAAAGAGCACAAATGTTATAAAAATTTTGATCGCGACGCAAGCTCCACAAGAATGGAGAGCGATGCCATCGCAGAAGGTTTTAATTGTAGCCTTGATATGCATGGGCTCATGTTTAAAACGGTTATTGCCGATGGTGACAGTAGCGTTTTTCAGGCTATTTGAGATAACAATCCATATCGTGAGCAAAGGGTAACAGTTGAAAAAATAAAATGCACAAATCATTTACTTCGCAATTTATGCAAGAAATTGAAAGCTGTAGCTGAAAACAGTTCAGCCAAAAACGCAAATACAGCGTGGTTTTGTGCAATCGCGAAATGTTGTGAAAAGCAACATTTTAAATTTCAGAAAAGAAATAGAAAAAGCTGCCGAGCAACGAAGAAAAGAACAGACATCTCAACATACAAAGGTTGTGGAATTACAGGAAGATATATCGAATATTCCTAGCCACATTTTTGGCGAACATAAACAATGCGAAGCACGCGGTCGCCAATGTAAAAAAAATGGTGATAAAATGGAAAGAAATAATGTTCCATCTCTGAAATCATTTGGTCTGTATCAGAAAATAGAAAGTGCTATTACGTATATAAGCACTAAAGCGTACAGCTTGTTGCTAAATTATACTAATAATCCTGCAGAATCGTTCAATTCGATAATTTGCAAAGAAATTGGTGGAAAGCGAATTAATTTTGGAAAATGAGGCTCTTACAACGCTAGAGTTGCAGGAGCAGTTGTGCAATACAATACGCAACAAGTACTTACAGAATTGCATGAAAGCTTGTTAGTCCAAGAGCTGGCGACAAATTTAGGGAACGTATTTTAGGCAAGTTAAAATAACAAAAAAATAATATTTTATTAATTGGTGAATGTAGAATCCTGAGTCAGGCAGAGGGTTTGCGGTTATTTCGCTACTGCGCAACCTATGACATTTGCAAAAAAATAAATCAAAAAAATATCTTTTAGGCAACTTGAAATTTGTTTAATCTTTAATTTTAGCATCTATTTAACCCAGAAATAAAAATCCCAGACTATTTTTTGGGTTTTAAAGTATAACCTGACCCCCCCGAATATATTTAATAATTATACCTCAAAAATATACTTTAGGCATTCTGAAATTTTTATAGCATGTTTATTAAATAATATTAAAAATACGTGTAAATCGCCAGACGAATTAAACGGTTATTAATAATTCCCTGACGCGAATAAAGATTTAAAATGAATGCGACAAAAAAGTCTTATGCGTAGCCATAAGTGCAAGAGAGATAGTTTATTGAGACCTGCCGGCAGCTGACGGTGCCCTGACTCCTCGGGCTGTGATTGGTTGCTGAGAGACCACGTGACTCGAGTTTACTATATAGCGCGGACTCTGTCTATGTAACAGAGTATATATTTTGGAGTAGTTAAATTTTTTAGAAAAATTAACAAATATAGAATAAATTTAAAAAAAATTTTTTTTAATAAAAATGTATTATTAAAATCCTTTGAAAAAGAAGACTTTTAATGAAAGTATTTTGTATCTTAACGGAAATAATAATTTAAAAATTAACATATTAAATAATTTAATTACTTTTTTCTTTATTCAACTTTTATTAAAATAATATTAATTTTTATAAACAAAATAAATTTTTAACGTCAATTAACATCAGTTCAATGAAAGATATCGATACAGATTAATAATTTTTTTAATAAGAAAAGGCGTTGTTGATTAGATTATTTTTTCATTGATTAATTAAACTCTTAAAGGTGATGAATTTATATTTTCGTTTTATTCCTCCTCTTCACTGCTCTCTGAAGATTCACTGTCTGGCAGATCGTCTTCACTCTCTGACAGATCGTTTTCACAATCTGATAGATCGTCTTCAATATCTTGTGGTGCTTTGTTTTTTTCGGTACTTTCTCTGTTTGCTGAAAAATAATTTTTAATTAATGTACAATAAATAATGGAATTATTTGAAATATAAGAAAATGATATTTACTTGTATTTTTTTTTGTTATTTCTTTATCTGATTCCAAAGCATCCAGAACAGAAGGCGGTACACAATCCCCTTCAAACCAGTAAAATTCTAATTTTCCATCTTGAAGGTCCCATCCATTCCTTGTTGGTGTCAAAGTACTCGGGTAACGTAAATGGGCATTTCGCCAGATACTGGTTACATATTGAGTACGTAGAAGTTGTTGATGTAATTCCACTTCACATGGGGGCAAATTTGATGCGTCATAGTTTTTCAATAGTTTTTTAAATGGTTCATTAGGATTATTAGCTTTATATGTTGAACAAAATTTTTGGAATCTTGCAGTATTCACATCAGTTACATTTTTGAATCCATACATTTCGCAGACGAATTTTTCCAAGACCGAAAAAGCTTCATATCTTGAACCTGTCACATGATCTGATCCAAGATCGGTGAAAGCTTTTTGGTAATCTTCATTGGCTTTTAAAATTTGGAATGGCTTTTTCTTTCCTTTCTTAAAGAAAGAAAGGTTGTAATCACAACCCGTCATTGCGTGGAAACCGGGTAAGCTAGAGCACACTTCTGGTCCTAATTCAGTTGACAACTGAGATATATTTATTAATCTTCTTTTCTTGTTGTTTCCATACTCCATGAAAATTGTCAGGCTATCACACTCCAGATGATCCATATTACTTAGCATAATAATTAAAACATCTGTATCGCAAGATTTGATAAGGATATTTGTGGCAAAATCATTATCAATTTTACAGACATGGTGCACAATTTTGGTGTCTGCTTCTTCGTGATCGTCACACGATAATTCATAATTTTCCTCCATAGTTACTACATTATTTTGAACTTTGTAGGAGTAACATTTATCATAACTTAAGTTTATGATTGTATTTCCAATAAATGGAGCCATTTCTTGTGAAGCCCAATGGTCTATTAAAAAGTTAACTAGAGCTTGCTTGAATTTAATGTTTTTTAGCTCTTTGCTGAAATCAACTGGACGTACTTGCATTGGGCCAGTAATTTTAAAATCCATATCATTGACTTCATTACGTAATGCACGTTCATAATCCTTAATTGACGGGGAAAAGTACTGGTCAAAAATTATATCAATGCGTGGAGCTTTTGTAGCTGTTAGAGACTTCATAATTTTTTTGGAAATATTGCCAATTGTTGCTGGCATATCACGCATGGTATGTAACAGATAGAAACCGTCAACTATTACAATATCATAATTTTTTGGTGTGTTTCCTGGTTTATGATTTTTTTCAAAAACTTTTACTATAGCTGATTTTTCAGTTTTACAAATAGTCCCATCGTAATGGCATAAGGACGACGGAATCGGCATGATGGGATAGCACAAAATCTTTTCAACATCAAGCTTATAGTCCATTGATATACCTAACATTCTTCCAAACAAGTCCCGTTGCATCCTTATCTCTTGAACATTATTACCACCGGTTAATTTTTTTTTCACAGTCTCAGAAGTAAAATTCAGTATTTTCACTCGTGTAATTGGTTTTTCAAATCTATCAACTGATTCTGAACATTCGGAAATAAACTTTTCGCGTAACTCGTTACCTGTACTTTCCATATTTAATAAGAATTTTTCGACATTTTCTGATGCTGACTTCCCAGTTGAAATATTGAAAAGTAAATTTTTGTCAAGGCTTGAGTCGAATGGGTTCATAAACTTTGAAAATGTTGCAATAAAATTTTTTAGCAATTTTGTGTCTCTCTTGATATTATGCTTTTCTAAGTCAGATGTTACGTCCTGGCGTTTTTGTAGTCCTGTTGTTTCATATGTAAATAATATAACAGTAGATCGGATTTCATGGCTCTTACACCAACGTTGTCGAGCTAAAATGGAATTTGTGAAGTTTATAATACCAACTAATCTTTTTGCAGCTTCAGCATTAATTGTTTGTTCCAAAGTCAGATCGATTGGTTGCCTTGAAAAAGATTTATCTGTCCGCTGGATTCCTAAACATCCTTTTTCCAAACCTTCAGCAATTTCCGGATGAGTTTCATCGATTGTTAGCAAATTGTTATGATACTTTACCAACCAACGAGCGTAATTCGGCTGATTAAATGCAAAAAATAAATTTGTAATTTTTGGTAAAACATATTTGAATAATCCAAAATCTCCAGTTCTGATACTACGACTCAAAATGTGATAATAGTTAATTAAATATATATAAGTCATATATAATTGTGGTGTTTTACCGAACGATCCATTTAGACAGGCTTCTCGATGTGCAAAATATGATGATAAAAGTTCCGACATTTCTTGGTTTTCTAATACTGCTGTGAGTGATAAGCTACCCTTATTGAAATGCAGAAGTTCCGTACGCAAGACGTCTCCCATCGTGATGCTTTGGTTTTCCAGGAATAGTTGAAAGTTCATAATTTCCAATCCCAGTGACATTAACGGATGTATTCTTTTACATCGATTAAAATGTTTGCCTGCGAGAAAAGACTCTACAGATCCACTAGCTAATAGTCCACAATCAACAGCGATATTCATTAATCCGCAACCCGCTATAAATTTTCCGACAGCTTTAAAGTAAGCAAACATAACATGGAATGTTCCTAAATGAATAAACAAATTGTCGTATTTAGGACTTTCAGTTGACTGAATTTGCATGGCAACTTTAGCAATAGCTAAATCATATGACACACAAATACTTTGTTCGCCAAGCTGCTCAGCAATTTTTTGACTTTCATAGTTTCGAGAATTACTTTTGGATCAGTAGGAGTATCATTAATAGGTGTAAAATATCGAATGACTTGTTTTTTCTTATTTTTGTCTTCGACAAACTTGCTATTAAATCCGACCCACATTGGCGTATTCGGAATTTCAAGCACATGTAATAGCATCCACAGTACATCAATTTTATTTACTTGTTCTAATGTTTGTGGTACTATTGAACGTCGATCATCAGTAGTCGGCAACAAAAGATCTGAGATTTTAGCTCTTTTGTTAAAAGGTTGTAATTCAAGTTGAGAAGTTTCAAATGTCCGTCTCCTTTTACGAATTTTTTTTCTTTGGATTGCATGTGTTTCGGCAGCAACATCAGCTTCAAGGTCAACGGTAACATCATGTTCAACGTCAACAGCAACATCATCTTCTAGGTCAACATCAACCATCACTTCTTGACTACTGTCCAGTGTGCTTTTGCGTATAGTTGTTGACGATTGTACCGCCAGAACGGCGTTAGTGAGAAGCAGTATTAAGCAATATGGCGAAATAGGAAGGGTAACGGAATAAAGCTCTGTTTAATATGACTGGATTTTCTGTGTATCCGTTCCTCAACATAATTTTGGCGCCCAACCAACGTGGCACGATCCCATGAGAAATGGGTTGTCGCGAGATAGAGACCGGGAAATAGTGAAAGTGTCCTGTAATCTCGAGGAAAGTAAACGGCGGGACGAACACGTCGTAGCGCAGCAGGACAAGATGGCTACCGACAAGGACATTGAACAGCCACGCAAGTGAACACTCGGTTACGAGAAAAGTGACAAGAGTGCAAGGTTTGCCGGAACGGAGGCGAGATCCGTTAATGACATAGTGCAAGATCGGGGCGGCGATCATCGAGCGTCGAGTGATCCCGCGTATCGTTAAGCTCGCGAAACGGGATTGGAAGTGTCCTCGGTCGGGGGATTCTTTATCGGGAAAGTGCTGTAGCTCGTCGCAGACAGCGAGAGTGAAGCACATCGCACGCCGAGTATCCGCATCGGGACGCTCGCATCATCATAACCGTCTTCGCACGTTGAGGTCCGCATCGGGATGCTCACGTCATTGTGATTGGCTCGCGCAAATCGAGAGTCGAATCGAGAATCGATCGTGACGCTGGCATAGGGATAACTCGATCACATCGAGATCCGGTCGAAGCGCTTACATAGTAACATTGTCATACAACGGGCGTCCGCATCGGGTCGCTCGGATCGTGGAAACGCATCGCGAGTGGACACGCGTCGCCAGTGAACGGGACATAGCTCGCTCACGCCGAGAGTCGCACGTCGCGAGTGTCGGGAAGCACTTCGCGGGTGCAGAGACATATCATATCTCACCAAGCCGAGAGATGCACGTCGCGAGTGTCGGGAAGCACCTCGCGGGGCAGAGACAATCGTATCTCGCACACGACGAGATTTGCGCGTCGCGAATGAACACGCGTCGCCAGTGATCAGGGCATAGCTCGTATAGCTATATCGCGTCTCGCTCACGCCGAAAGGGACACGTCACGAGTGATACACGTCGGGCGTGTCGTGGAAACGCATCGCAAGTGCGCAGAGGCATTCAAGCCAGCCAACCGGGAAGTAACGTTTCGAGTGCGTAAACGCGTTCATCGCGAGAGATCACAAACGCGTACGTCGCGAGATTCGAGGACTCACATCGAGTACAAAGCAAGAGAACGAAAATGGCAGACGTAAGAAGATTGAAGCAGAATCGAGCTACGATAAAGGGTCAGATGACTCAAATAAATAATACTGTCGATGAAAATACGTCAGTTGCCGAAGCAAAGGTCAAGTCGACGAAAATCGAAAGCTTGTGGGAGGCTTTCCAAGAAGTTCAGAAAAAGATTGACGACGCAAGATTAGAAAGAATCGAAGTCGCCGCAGATGAAGAAGTGCTGCCTACCGCAGAGCAAAAGGCAGAACGACAGATTTTTGAAAATACCTATTTCGAAGCAGCAACGAAGATCCAAATGGTGATCGATACAGCACAAGCCGCTAATCAGGTACAAGCTCAGGTCGCAAGGGCAGAGCCACAAAACGAAGACGGAAGGCGCGGACGGGGCGAACGGCGAATGGAGGTCAAGCTGCCAACGTTGAAACTTCCCGAGTTCAGTGGCAATTACAATGAATGGCTTTTATTTAAGGATGCGTTCACATCATTGATTCATGAGAACGACACACTCACCGAAATACAGAAGTATCAATATCTGCGAAGTTCGGTGACAGGTGAAGCGTTTCAGGTAATCGGAGGTTTGGCCACGACTGCAGCAAACTACGAAAATGCGTGGGATCTTCTTCTAAACAATTATGAACATCCGAGGCTTCTAATTAACACACACTTGAATCAATTGCTTGATTTTCCAGCCGTATCAAAGGACAAACCAGCAACAATGCGTCAACTGATCGTTCACATCAGAACGCACTTAAAGGCTTTAGAGACACTAGAGCTTCCGGTTGATAAGTGGGACGAGCTTCTCATACACCTGTTAAAAAATAGGATGGATTACAATACAGAAGAGTTGGGAAGAAGAAACCAAAAAAGACAAGGAAAATTGGCCTACGTTGGAAAACTTTCTGACTTTTCTCAATGAGCAAGTACGAACGCTTGAGATAATTGACAAGACCAAGGGAAAGTCGGAAGCATCAAAGACGCCAGCAGGGAAAAAACAAGAAAGAAAAGTAGCTTTGGCAACCACCTCTCAAGAAGGTTGTGTCCTCTGCAGCAAGAATCATCAGTTGTACCGATGCCCGGATTTTCTGCAGCTATCGAGTGCTGACAGATTAAAGGAGGTGAAAGCGAAGAAACTGTGTATGAACTGCTTAAGCAAAGGACACTTTTCCGCGGCTTGCAAATCTTCAGCATGCCGGAGGTGCCAGAAGAAGCACAATACCCTGTTGCATCCAGAGCAAGAAGAGAAGACTGCAACCGATAAGAAGTCAGAAGAGGACGCGTCCAAGAAGGCAGTGGTAATGCACGGCACTCAAGAAACCTTGCAAGATACTGAAGAGTCATCTTCTGTAATCAACCTTGGTAGAAAACCCACGTCGTGCGTGGTGCTATCAACGGCCCGAGTTATAGTCCATGACGTCAATGGAGGCCAGCACAAATGCCGTGCACTTCTAGATGCAGGGTCGCAATCCAATTTGATCACCCAGGAACTCGTCGACAGGCTCAGATTGAAATGTAAAAGGAGAGACGAAGTCATCAGTGGGATCAACCGATCACAAACCAATGTCAGTAAGACAGTAGGAGTAAAAATCCGATCGATGAACGCGGATTATGAGGTAGCCATAGAATGTCTCGTGCTGCCTGCCATTACTGAAAGACTTCCTCAAGTCAAAATCAATACTAAACTGATTTGCTTGCCGGAGGGTTTGAGCCTAGCAGATCCTGATTTCCACACGCCAGGAACAGTGGATATTCTAATAGGAGCAGGACTTTTCTGGCAATTAATCTGCAAGGATTATATTCAAAGACCAAAGGGAATACCCAGATTACAACGTACGTTGCTAGGATGGATTGTAGGAGGGGAGCTTCTCGACGCCAGCTCGGAAACTCCAAGAAGCTTCTGCGGTCTCATCACAAATGCGCAACTCCAAGCGCAGTTAGAACGCTTTTGGAAGCAAGAGGAGACGCTCGAAAAACGGAGTCTCACCCAAGAAGAGATTGAGTGTGAACGGCAGTTCCATGAGTCGGTCAAGCGAGATGAAACTGGTAGGTTCATCGTAACACTTCCGAAGAAACCCGGAGTGAAACTCGGCGATCCAGGGAATCAAGCATTGCAGCAATTATATTCCCTAGAAAGAAGATTCAGAGGAGATCCAGCATTGAAGAATGCGTATGTTCAATTCATGGAAGACTATGAAACTCAAGGCCACATGTCGTTAATGGGACCAGGCCCAGATACGAGCACAAAGGTAGAGCAATCGTACATACTTCCGCATCATCCGGTGATTAAACCGGACAGCACCACAACTAAGTATGTATGTATGTATGTATGCCGTTTATTGCATTTCCCCGTAGGGTTTACAAGGCGTTTTTATTTATGAGGAACGTACCCAAACCTCGTATATTTTCTTTCCCCTGTGCCTGGCCATTTGCGACCTTACAAAAAATATTTACCCCCCTCCCCTCCCCTTTTCATCCCTCTTCTTCTTCCTCCGCTTCTGCCGTCAATTCTTCCTTCCTTCCTTCCACCTCCATCCTTCCTGTCGACTCCTCCCTATTTGGCCTGCTTCCTCTCTCGTCCCTCCTCCTTCTCCTCCTCTGGGCTCAAGAGAAGCTTCTCCTCCATCCCTCTCGCGATTTCTTCCTCCGCCGATCTCCCTGTGCACTTGTGCACCTCCCTTCTCCCTTCCTCTCTCTCCCTAACCCTTCTTTCCACCGACTTATCCTCGTGTATCTTAACTCCTATGGAGTTCCCTGCCCTTCTCCTCGCCTCCAAAACCCGCCTCTTCTCCTCCTCGTCTCCTAGCTTTACCAAAATCGTTAACCAAATCCCTCTCTGCCCCACCACTATCACCTCTCTTACCTTCACCTTCACCTTCAGCCCTTCTGTGAAAAGCTCCTTCACTTTCTCCCAATTGGTCTCCTTACCTTCCCATTTCCCTTTTTCCACTCTTATAATTATATTCCTCTTTCTGAAGTCGTCCTCGTTCCTTTCACCCTCACCTGCCCACCATTTCTTTTTTCCCGCCATACTCTTTTCGCTATCCTCCCTCTTCCTTTTGCCTCCACTTTGCTCCAACCTTTCCATCTTTCTCTCCAGCCTCCTTACCTTCTCCTCCAGCTCCTCCATCCTCTCGTCCTTTTTTCTGTCCTCCTCCTTCTTTTCCCTCAGCATCTTCCTTAACTTCTCCTCTACCATCCCTTCCACTGCCTCCACTATCATTCTCCCTTCACGCTCCATCCTGCCTGCTCTATAACAGAACAATTAATCACTTCTCCTTTTCTCTCCTTTCCTCTTCCTCCCCTCCCACTTATCCTCCTCCCCCATCTCCCCTTCCGTCATTCCCACTACCCTCCTTTAACTCCTCCAAATCTCCCTTTCCACTCATTCTCTCCCCTTCTAATTCTAGCATCCATTCCTCTCCTCCTCCTTCCTCGTCCAAGACCCATCCTACCGCTTCCTGCCAGCTTCCCTTTCCTGAATTCCATCTTCTACATTCTTCCCATATATGCTCCCACGTTTCCTCCTTATTCCCACACAACCTACACTTCTTTTTCTCCTCCGCTTCCCAGTATCTGCTCTCTCCTATCTCGTTCCCTAATCTGAATCTCGCCACCCTTCCCCATCTACTTTCTCCCCATCCCTTCTTCAAATATCCCGGGATTTCCTCTCCCTTTGTCCACTTATACCACTTATTATACTCTGATATCTCGATCCTCTCCCATCTCTCTTTTCTCTGCGTCTCCCTATCCTCTTCAAACAATTTAAGAAACCATTCGTCTCCATCTCCTCTTATCTTTTCCACCTCTTTTAACCCCACACCTCTGTCTTCGAAGAACTTTCCTCTCTCTCTTTCCCAATCTGAGCCAGCTTTCCCTTCCATCTCTCTTTCCTTCAACTCTTCCCAGGCAGACCTCGCCAGTTCACTTCCTCCACCCTCCTCTAACTTTTTCTCAAATCTCCATGCCCTCATTCCTGCTCTCCCTCTTAATTTCTCCCTTTGTAATTCCTCCCTCACTAGATACCACGGTGTTCTCACGTCCGCTCCCAATACCCATCTAATGTACCTTTCTTCCATTCTTTCTATTCCTTCCCTTTCTCTCCATCCCCATATTTCCGCTCCATAACTCAACACCGTCCACACCAGTCTATCGAACAGCCACAGTCTTTTTCCCCAGTCTTTCCCGAATCTCCTCTTCCCTATCCCCCAGACTTTTCCCATCACTGCGGCCGCCTTTTTGATCCTTTCCCTTATTTGGGCTTCCTGCCCTCCATTTCTTTGAAACACGTATCCTAAATACCGAAATTCCCTCACCTCTTCTAACTCTTTTCCTTCCCATCTCCACTTTCTCTTACTGTCCCTCCCTCCTCCTTTCCTAAACCTCATTATTTTTGTTTTCCCCACGTTCAATTCCAATCTCTTCCTGCCCAGGTACCCCTCTAGTCTTTCTATCAGACTCCTCATTTGGTCCTCGTCCTCTGCGATTAGCACTATATCATCCGCGTAGGCCAGAGTATACACCCTCTTGCCTCCTAGCATTATCCCTCCCCATTTAACTCAACCCATTTCCTCTTCCAGGTCCGCTAGCAACACATTGAACAGAATCGGGCTCAAAGGGCATCCCTGTCTTACTCCCCTCCCCGTCCAGAATACTTCTCCCAATTCGTTTCCTCCTCTTACCCTACTCTTCGTCTCTCTTAACATCTCTTCCGTCCTTCTCACCAGTCCTTCCCTTATTCCCCTTTCTCTCATAGCTTTTATTAGTATTCCTCTATCCACCGAATCGAACGCCGCCTTAAGATCCACAAAACATGCTATCAGTTTTCCCCCTTTCTTCTCTAACCTTCTGTTCACCATGTAGTTCAACACGTAAATGTTGTCTATCGTTCCCATTCCCCTTCTAAAACCTGTCTGGTTGTGCGGTACCATTCTCTTTCCCTCTATCTCCTCCCTTAGCCTCTCCGCCAGAATAGCCATGTACACCTTATACAAAGAAGGCATTATTGTCACCCCTCTATATTCCTCTGCCCTCTTTCCTTCCCCTTTTTTTACGATTGGCGCAATTATACCTTCCTTCCAAATTTCCGGCCATCCTCCCCCCTTCCATATCTTATTGATAAATTTCCATGCCCAAACCTCCAAACCCTTCCCCCCTCGTTTCCAGGCCTCTCCTGGAATCTCATCCTTTCCCATTGCCTTTCCGTCCTTTAGCTTCTTTATAACTCTCCTCATTTCCTCTAGACTTATCTCCTCTTCCTCCTCTCCTTCCTTTTCTACCCTCTCTCCTTCCTTCCCCATCCTCACCCTCCCCTCTACTCCTCCTAATAACTTCATAAAGTGCTCTTTCCATTTTTCCTCTTCTATTCCTTCCTCTATTCCCCTCCTTTTCCTTCTCTCCCTATTCACTATCTCCCATACCTCCGCCTCCCTCCTTGCCCCCTCCACTTTTCTCTCCCATCTCTGGTTCTCCTCTTCCTTCTTTCTCTTACATATCTCCTTAAATTTTTTCCTCCTTTCCTTGTACGCACTGGCCTCTCCTCTTTTCTTCCTCCAGTCCCTTAATTTTCTCCTTGTCTCTTTCTTCGCTTCTCGACATTCCTCATCCCACCTTCCCTTTCTTATTTCCCAGCTCCTCCTCTACCCCTTTTATTGCCTCTGTTATTCTTGTTTCCATTTCTTCCCATTCCTTATTCAACTCTTCTTCCTTTTCTTCCACCTCTCCTATTTTTTCTATAAACCTCTTTGCTCCTTCCTCGTTCCACACCCCCCTGCTTCTTTTCTTCCACCCTCTTCTCCTGCTTTCCTCCTCTTTCCCCCTTCTTACTACTATTTCCAATGGGTGATGGTCCGAGTCTACTCTCTCCCCCACTACCATGCTCACTATCTTCTCTCTTACTTCTCCTTCCCCTATTATGTAGTCGATCACCGTATCTCCTCTTCCCCCCGTGAAAGTAAACTCCCCCTCCTCGTCTCCTCTCACATTTTTATTGAATATCTCCCAACCTCTCTCCTCTAAGCTATTTACCAACAGTCTCCCCTCTCTGTCCACCTTCTTGTCCTTCGACCTTCTTCCTTCTCCCAGTCCTCCTCCCTCCTCTTCCTCTATCCTCCCACCTTCTTGACCAGTCCTCGCATTAAAATCTCCCCCAATTATCGTATACCTTCCTTCTTCTTTCTTCTCCATTCTATCTCCTAACTCCTGTACGTTCTCCTCCATCCCCTCTTTCTTTGCATACACCCCTATAATACTCCAGTTCTCGCCACCTGTTCTGACCTTTCCCGCAATCCAACTCTCCCTATCTACTTCTATTGCCGTTCCCTTTTCTTTTAATCCTTTCCTTATTCCCATTATCATCCCTCCTATTGCTCTTCCTTTTTTATTCTTTTTCTTCGCCATTTGCACCCCCCACTCGTACCCTTTTGGAAGTCTCCCCCTTATTCTTTCCCAGCCCTTTTCTCCTATCCAGGTCTCTAACATGACTAACACATCTTCTTTCTTCAGCCCTTCCCAAAAATCCTTATCTTTATTTTCCAACCCAGCTACGTTCCAGAATACTATCATCCAAACTGACTTACTTTCCCCCTCTTCTTCTCTTCTAACTTTCGCGTTGTCTTTCTCTATCTCACCCCCTCTATCCTCTTCTCCTCTTATTCCCCCGTCTCCATTCCTACCTCTCCCTCTCCTCCTTTAACTTCTTTCCCTTCCTTCCCTCCTCTGCTCTCCTTTCTTCTCCTTCCCCTTTCGTCCTTTAACACCTCCTCTTCCATATCCCATCTCCACCAAGTATTTTCCAACCTTATTCTGCCTGCCTTAATCCATGCCCTCCTACCCTCTCTTTCCTCCCCTCTCGCTATCTCTCTCAACCTCCAATTCATTCTTTTTTCCTCCCACGATAGGTCCTCCGTAATTCTTTCCTTTCTCCCCACTAGGCTCCTCTTTTTTTCCATAACCTCCCATTTCTGTTCTTCGTTCTCCAATTTCAACAGCACCATTTCCCTTCCTTTTTCTGCATCACCTCCTATTCTCTTCACCTCTATTGCCTTTACATTCGCTCCTATTCCTTCTAATAACTTTTCTGCATTCTCTCTCCTCCCTCCTTCTTTTACTTCCAGCCCTCTTATTACAATGTTTCTTCTTCTCTCCTCCTTTTCTTTCCTTTCCAGCCTTCTCTCCAGTTCTCTCATTTTCTCCCCCACCTCCCCTCTACCGTTTCTTTCCTCCTCCTTCTTCTCCTCCTTCCTCTCTTCCATTTTTTCCTCCAATCTCCTTATTCTTTCTTCCATTTTCTCCTTCTGCTTATTTGTCTCTTCCCTCTCCTCTTTCCATCTCTTCTCTCGCTCCCTAAACTCCCTTCTCAGGTCCTCTATCTCTTCTCTCATCTTCCTACCCTGCTCCTTGAAACCCTCCCTTAGCTCTTCTCTCACTGCCCTAAATTCCTCCATCATTTCTCCCATTCTTTTTCCCAACTCCTTCACACCTATCTCCGAGTCTTTTTTAGGAGATCTTGCCGTCATGTTACTTCTCTTAAAAATCTCCTCCTTTTCCTCCCCCCCGCTCCTATCCATTTCCTCCCTCTTCCTTTTCCATAACTCTTCTATATTTCCCGTGCTCCCCCTTCTAACTTTCTCCTTTTCCTTAACCTTACCTATCGCACTCTTTCCCTCCCTCCCGTTTTCTTTCCCTTCACTCATCTCCTCCTAACTCGGCTCACTTCCCCCTCTAGCTCCACCACCTACTCTATGCCCTGCCTCGCGCTGCTGTCCGCGTCCCGGATCCTGCGTCGAGTCGCCCCTCTCTCTTCGCTATTGTTCGCGCCCTACCTCGTGCTGCTGCTCGCGGCTCGGCTCACCTACCGTGCGCCCCTCTAGCTCAGCTACCGTTCGTGCTTCCACCTTCTCAGTGCCTAGACACTTTACCTCCCTTTATCTCCTCTTACCTGCCCCTCCTCTGTTCCCCCTTCTTACCTCCTCACTCTCTCACCTCCACACCTCCTCGCTCTATCACCTTCTCCTTCCTCAGCCTCCCTCGTCACTCTCTTCTAAACCCTTTTGCTCTCGCTCACTTGCACACCTGTCACTCTCGTTCTCTCCGGAACCGGAAGTCCACCACAACTAAGTTACGTGTTGTATTCAACGCCTCAGCGAAGACATCGTTGGGAACATCGTTAAACGACAAGTTATTCGCCGGTCCAAACAAGCAGAAGAGCCTGTTCTGCATAGTCTTACGCTTTCGATCACACCCCTTTGTCATAACGGCGGACATAGCTGCAATGTTCCGACAGATACTCGTGTGCGAAGAAGACCGAGATTTACAACTGATTCTGTGGAGATCAGATCCATCGCAACCAGTTCAGATCTTTAGGATGAACACGGTGACATATGGCACCGCATGTGCACCTTATTTAGCCCTCAGCTGTTTGGAGAGATTAGCGATAGAAGAACTGGAAAGGTTTCTAAAGGCAACCTTGACGGTCGAAGAGATGAAGATGTTTCTCAAAATAAGGTTGAAGATCGAAGAGCTGAAGAAGTTCCTAAAAGAAGCATTGGACAATGAGAAATCGGAGTTTCTACAAGCAATCCTGGTCTTGCTAGAAGATTTCTACATGGACGATGTTTTGTCTGGCGCAAGTACCATAGAAGGGGCCATAGCCTTGCGACAGCAGCTGTCGGAGTTATTGCAACGGGGACAGTTTCAGCTGCGGAAGTGGCGTTCCAATGATCCACGTATATTGGAGGAACTACCCGAGTCCAACGACGATAACAGCTTCCTCAAAATAGACAAGGAGGGTGCCATGAAAACGTTGGGACTTCTATGGGATGCCCAGTCAGATGTTCTGCAATACAGCGTGTCGATAGAAGAAAATTCAAGGGTTACCAAGCGTCTGGTGCTATCTCAGATAGCTCAAATATATGACCCCCTTGGCTTGCTGGGACCCGTTGTCATCATTGCGAAATGTATTATGCAGTCTCTATGGCAAATCAAAACTGGTTGGGATGAAGTTCTCCCAACGGAGTTAGAAGCTACATGGAAGGAGTACTATAGATCGCTGCCGCAAACCAACGAGTTGAAGATTCCGAGAAACATCAATCCGGGAAATGTGAGCAATCAGTTCGATCTCGTAGGCTTTGGAGATGCCTCAGAAAAGGCATATGGAGCCGTGCTGTATGCTGTTTCACAAAGGTCGGGAGGTACCTTACAAGCGCATTTGATTTGTTCGAAAAGCAGAGTCGCACCTTTGAAAACTATATCACTACCAAGACTGGAACTTGATGCGGCGCTGCTGTTGACTAAACTGACCGAACAGGCAAGAAAGGCTTATGGTGACAGGATTCGAAACGTGTCTTTATTTAGCGATTCGACGGTCGTTCTCAATTGGATAGCAGAGTCACCTAACATTAGGAAGACGTATGTGGCAAATAGAATCACCAAGATTCAACTTCTTTCACAAGGTGTGACATGGCGTCATGTTCCGTCCAAGGATAATCCGGCAGATCTTCTTTCCAGAGGCATGTCAGTGGAAATGTGGAGGACCAGTCAGTTATGGTGGCAAGGGCCTGAGTGGCTCGTCACCGATCGATGGCCTGAACAACCAGAAATCTTAGGCGATACGTCCGAGATGAAGATCACTGCACTAATCGCCACCAAAAACGAGGAGTACGACATTCTACGAAGATTTTCAGACTATGGGAAGCTTCAACGCATAGTCGCTTATTGTCTGCGTTTTAAGGCAAATTTACTTGGCGCAAAGAAGAGTGGCCCTTTAACGCCAGCCGAAATAGAGCAAGCGGAAACTATCATATTGAAGACTGTCCAGCGAGAAGTTTTCCTGAAGGAGGTGCGGGCTCTCGAACAGCAGCAATCGATTCCCAAGGGTAGTAAGTTGTCGTCCCTCAGTCCTATCTTGGATCAGGAGGGAGTCATAAGGGTAGGTGGTCGGTTATCACAGGCCGACATTCCCGAAACTCAGAAGCATCCAATATTGTTGCCAGCCAAGCACCACGTTACAACTATCCTCATGAGGAAGGAGCATCTCAGGCTTCACCATTGCGGCCCGGAGCAGTTGCTCTACTCAACACGTGTAAAGTATTGGCCTTTAAGTGGACGACGAGAAGCAAACAAGATTACGAAGAGTTGCATAAAATGCTTTCGAGCTAAACCAAGGACACCTGAGGTCTTCATGGGAGATCTTCCTGAGGATCGAGTCCGTCATAACATGAGACCATTCACCACAGCGGGCGTAGACTACGCCGGGCCATTGCAGGTCCGAGAGAGTCGCAGGCGGGGAAGGGTTCACATCTCGAAGGCCTGGATCGCCGTGTTTACCTGTTTTGCCACTAAAGCCGTACACATAGAGCTAGTGACGGAATTAACTACCGAGTCATTTCTAGCTGCATTAAGAAGGTTTGTGGCGAGAAGAGGAATTTGCTCGAAGATCGTGTCCGACAACGGCACTAATTTTGTCGGAGCTGCGAGAGAGCTAGCAGAAGTATACGAGTTTCTTCGGAAGGAGAAAGAAACCATAGCCACATACTTGGCTCGTCAGAAAATCGAATGGAGGTTTATTCCTCCTCGATCTCCACATTTTGGAGGTCTTTGGGAGGCCGCTGTCAAGGCTACCAAGCGTCATCTCCACACTGTCACGAAGGGTCTGGTTTGGACGTTTGAGGAATACGCAACGCTGCTCGTGGAGATAGAAGCAATCCTGAATTCAAGGCCTCTCACTCCCTTTTCCAGTGATCCTAACGATTTATTGGCATTAACCCCATCTCATTTCCTTACAGGGGATTCATTGTTGTTTCCACCAGAGTATAGTTATATGAAAGTCCCGGATAACAAGCTGTCACGATGGCAGCATGCTCAGAAATTACGCCAGCATTTCTGGAAGCGTTGGCAGGAGGAATACCTCCAAGAGCTGCAAAAGCGTCATAAGTGGCGTAATAAGGGCAAGGATCTCGAGGTCGGTACTCTAGTCATTCTGAAGGAGGACAATACACCCCCTCTACAGTGGGTCCTAGGCCGAGTGGAGGAAGTTCATCCTGGCAAGGACAACGTGATTAGAGTGGCAACAGTCAAAACGCCCACTGGATTGTTTAAAAGAGCCGTCCAAAAACTTTGTCCACTTCCCGCAGAAGAAGACTGTTAATTTATATTTAATTTTCT